CCTCCGGTGTCTCAGCGTGGGTATTCTAGGTGCAGGCCTAGTCCTCGGGTCCTCGGGTCCTCGACTCCTCGGGATCTGCTGCTGTTTGGGCCCGCCTGTAGAGGATCCAAGGGATGACTCCTGCAACCTAGGCAATGCTAGCGGCAACAAGTCTGTCCAGGGCAGTCCAGTTTCCTGGTAGAATTTAGCTAAGGTTCCATTTTCCGTCTGAGCCCCTGATCATACCATGAGTACTTCTGACAAGTCTGGTTGCTGAGCACTGCGCTGGGCGACGCACCAGAACCCCAGGGAGCTCGTAGGCTGCTGGGGCAGGTAAACCCGATGGAGCACCGTGAAGGGCCATGAGAGAGGACTGCGCGGACAGCTATGGGGGCACTTCAGATACACAGCGTGTGCCCTCTGCAACTCGACGTGAAGAGTAGAAGTGTGTTCAGGATGTGCTTCTGGTGTTCTTTCCTTAATTCAGCCAGGTGCTTCAGCAGCATGTGCGTTCCCACCCAGCACCGTTCCTGGAATGGGGTTGCCAGGAGGAGGTCGTCCATGTACTGCAGAATCGTCAGGTACAGCCAGCCCCCCCTTAGCGAGGGGCTTCAGGTCTCCTGCTAGGGCTTCCCCAAATAAGGTTGGGGAGTTCTTAAACCCCTTAGGCAGTCTACTCCAGGTTAACTGAGTCTTGACCATTGTGTGTGGATCTTTCCATTCGAAGGCAAAAATGGGTTGGCTAGAAGGTGCCACAGGAATGCAGGAGAAGGCATCCTTCAGATCAAAGCAGGTAAATCACGTTGCTGTTGGGGGAAGCTGGATCAGGAGGGTGTACGGGTTTGGGACCACTGGTGGAGGGTGACAGCTGCTTCGTTGACGGCCCGCAGATCCTGGATGGGCCGATGCCCGCAGATCCTGGATGGGCCGATACCCGCTCCCGTCTGGCTGCCATCATGGGTCTGGGCAGGTGTGGCCCCATGCTATGGAGCCAGTCCTCTCCTAGCTCTCACGCAGGCACTGTAACTTGGGGGACCTGCCTCCCAGTCACATCTTGCGCGGGGGAGTCTTTCTTTATCTCCCTGGTTCAGAGCATGGCCACAGCTATTCAGCATATCTAAGTGACCAGCCAAAGACTATAGGTATGTCAAATGACTATGCCATGGATTAGCTATAAAGCTGTTGCTGTACAAAACAGCCCTGCATATTCTTGCTCTGTGGCCCCTCCCCCAACTCACAACTGTGGGGGAAGGGGTGAAGACATCTTAAAATCTCCTGCATGCCTTGAGTTCTGGACCCCGTTTTAAATGCCCATTTGGGGTCCCCTCTCTTGGCTGCACCCTGTAACAACCTCTCATTTCAGATATACACCCACTTTAAATTCTTTTAAAGGACAATGGGCGAAGGTCTTATCTTCTTGTATATACTTCTGGCTGGAAATGGACATTGTCCTACCTACCCCGTGGGTCAGGGGTGCCCTGAAGGTGGGGGGTGCAGCATGGAGGGAGTCCTTCCTGTAAGGGGAAGGACCTTACAGAATCCTGGTGAATTGCCTGCACCAGAAAGTCGCAGGCTTAGTGTCCAAAGACTGGCATTACTGGACCATTGGCATCCTGGTCATATTCTGGAGATGACAGATTTGGAAAGAGTTGGAAGGCCCAATTAAATCATAACCACTAAATGACAAAGGCAGGAACTTAAGTAAAGAATGGCTTATCTGGAGGAAGGTGTACAAGGCATGCTACACCTATCCAAAACTCTTGGGGCCCATTATACTTCACTTGGGCTGAGGGGAATATACTAGGATTTCCCTCCTTCCAGATATCTGAACCCTTCCTGTCCAAGCCATCAAGACAGAAAAGGGAAAATCAGTTCTAAAGTGAAGCCCACAGATCGCTCAAACTGCTCACCAACCCATCCACTCAGTTCAGCCAAACCATTGAGTTTCAGGGGGCGATGATGAAGAATGGGCTCCTTAAGTGAGGCCTATATTGCAACCAATCACTCAGATAATGAAATCATAGGCATACATCTTATGAAAACAGAAGAACACACAGGTTAATTCACACAATAGTCCCCAAACCAGTCTCTGTGCCTGTGAGACTGTCTTTTGGGGAGACATTCAGTTGCAAGGTCCTTCCTGCAATGACATTTAGCAATGGCAATTTGACAGGTCCTCCATACCTGTAAATTGTATATCTTTAATGATATTACAAACCCAGTTTCAACTTTCAAACAAAAAGACGCTTTCAAGACAGTTAGCTGAGTTATTCTGGTGTCCAATACTGAGCATTGTGATTTTCCTTGAACCACAATTTTTCTCCTTAAGATCACCCTCACTGTTATTAAAGGGACTACTTTGAGTTCCACTTTTCATTTTGACTGTTTGTTTGCATAAACACACCAAGAGCAGCCTGGATCACTTATGATCTTTAATTCCACTTTGCTGGAACTCACACAGGGAACCTTTAGATTGACTTCTCAGTCGGCCCCTCGGGGCACAGAGGCAGAGCCACACATCTGCCATCTGGCTTCACCTGTACCAGTTGTTTCACTCAGATCCTTGAGGCTTCCATTGTGCCCACAGGTTCCTTTTAGGCCATCTTTCATGAAAGCAACCTTCGTTCCTTCCCTGGAAAGACTGCCATGAACTGCACAAGCAACCAAAGTACCAGGCTTTTTTCATGGGCATACTCTCGCTTCACAAGTCAATCCCAGTTCCTCAGGGCTTTCCGGTGATGACCAGAACCCATACATGCCTCCTTCAGACGTGACATTCCAGTCAAAGTCTTGGTTAACAAAACCACTATTAATGACTGATCTTATTGGTTTTATGCAAAGAAACCTTATGTCTTCACTCACTCCTTCAGAATGCCAAATTCTGGAGGGATCAGGTAGGGAGAAAAATACAAAGCGGGAAGGAAAATCCTTTCCCTTCTGATATCCACCGGGCTTCTCAAAACTATCACTTCCAGACATTCTGCAACACTCACAAACCCTCTATTCTTTCTTTCATACAGCTTCTGATATCCACCAAGACTGCAACTCCATGACTTATACCTGCTATTATTAACTAACACCACATAGTCCCTTCCTAAAACTTTTACCTTTCCATTTATTTTTGCAGTTTCCCACGGGCCTTCTTCATTTATATATATATATATATATATATATATATATATATATATATATATATATATATATATATATATAAATATATATATATATATATATTATATTTTTTATTTAATTTCCTACAGAGTATGAAGTTTCAACCTTCCCTGGAATCCTCAATTTCCTTTCTCGAGCAGATATAGAGCAAAATCCAAAACACAGAATTCCAGAAAAATACACAAGTAGGGACATTCTCTTGCACCAATGTATCTATCCATGCCTCGCAGAGACATGCTCCTTCAGGTCCAGTCTTTTGGCAGAGACATGCTGCTTGGCCTCTGGCTGAAGCAGTCATCAGCCCCAAATGACCCTTCCTGGGTCCTGAGTGGCAAAGGCATTCTCCCCAACCAGTTACAGGCGACTTCTCTTAGGTCTTACAGGTGACCTTAAACAGGTCTTCAAGTACAGAGGGTTTCTGATCATAAACAACACCAATGTTAGAAATTTGCTCTTTTCCCACAAAACCAGAAAACAAATAGTTGAGGTTTCCTTTACTCCAGGTTTAAAACCTCACATTCTTTATACATAATTTTACTCACTCAGATTTAACCATCATTCTCTTTTAATCCTGGTTCCTTTCCCACTCTGGGAAGGACTATACTTAAACTCAGCATGTGGCAGCCGACAGTCCCTGGCACTGCAGGTACCTTCCACTAAAATTCCCTAGATTTGCAGGGACATCCTGCAGTTTTCTGAAGGTCAGACCCTGCAAACACCCTATAGGTCAGATGTTCACCCTTGGACCTCAGTTCATGTCCTTCAGAACCAGAGCCATTCTTACCAGAACCAGTTACACAGAGAACCAGACTGATGTGGTGCCCACACAGCAGCAGCACACAGCCTATAACCTGAAGAGAGCCCTTAGCCTGGCACCTTGCCCAGTTCTAAGATGGAGGGGCTCTCACATGACCCATCATCCAAGAGGAGGACAACCATGTATGCTCCACCCTCCATGGGGGGGCACTTACGTGGCTCGTCCTCTATTTTACCCAAAATGCCGGTGCACCCACATGGCTTGCTGTCCGATCTCTAACATACATGCAATATAGTACTGTGGCAGGAACGCCTCCCTGCCCCCACCCCACCCCCATGCTGAATTCTCCCCATCGGCACTGACAGACAAGGGAAGGGACTCTCAGGTCGCCAGCCTGGTCTCACCCCTCTTGGGGCACTTGGGTTCCGTCTTAGCTAAGGCTGCCTATGTAGGATTCGGGTTAAACCCCCAGCCGTTATGCCGTATGACAGACCGAGGAACTGCAGGTTAGGGCTCACTCACACTCTGTAGGCTTCCACCCGTGGAGCAACAAACATGGTCATTCACATGGACACACCGAGTTTATTAAGTTCCCACCTGCCCGAACTGTGGGAGCCCTGCCTGGGCCTTCCAGCCTGAGGGGTGATCAGTCCCTCCTTCCACTCCAAGAGTGGGCCTGGTTTTGGGGCTCCTGGTCCCCGCGGGGCACTTACCAGATTCCAGATTGGCGCCTTCCCAGATACCACCAGCTCGCACCCCACCAGCCCCGGTCAAGGGGCGGTCTGGGGGCCAAGCTTGCGGTGCCCCGGATGTTCAGGACCCGAAATCTCCGGGGCGTGCGCACCTCCATATCACAGTCCAGCCCCACCAGCCACCCCAAGGCCGCCTTCACCGGGGACAACAGCCTGCTCTTGTGAGTCGTTTCCAGTCAGGGAACCAAAATGCTACGGAAAAGATGACTCAGACGGCCTGGGAGTTTAGGAAGTGGGGTTTATTCACGCATGCGGACCCAGAGGAGATAAAATCCAAATTCTGGGCAAGGAGCTTAAGCTGAACGCTTCTTTATATGCTTGTTACATAGGCAGAAGCAGGAGGAGAAGGAGTGCAGCTGCTAAACGGGGGTTAGTCTACGACCTTGAGATAACTGCTTATCTGGGAATGGCTGCTGGTCAGCTCCTACATAAGAATGGCTACTGCTCAGCTATGTCCTGTCACAGTTCCATTAAGTTATCAAAACACAACACAATGGCTCTGAGGACCCTTGAAAGTTCACAGATGATGAACATAATCAATGTAAACAAACCTTTTGATTCTCACTAATTTGTTTCTGATTTTGAGGCTTATGTAGTTTGATGACTCTATAATTTTACTACAGATTTTCATTTAGCCAACTCAGATAATGATTTGTGATTCTATCTCTAATTTTAAGTCCAGGATAGGAAATTGCTCCATGGAATCCATCCTCAAAGTGATGATGGGTCACCCTAACTTCAGCCTTCTGAAGTCGAGTGACATACATGATTCCATCATCTCTTAAGACGTCATATTGGCAGGTGATGACATAGGTAACAGGTAAGCTATGTAACTTGTTGTCATCAGCCAACAAGGGAGCTGCCCTCACATCTAGAAACCCTGGATACTTTTTAAACAGCTCAGAAGTACCATGAGTTGGACTCTTATACAAGTGCCCTTTCTTAAAGATCTCCGGGAGCAAAGAACTCCAATTAGCAAATTTGAAGAGCTGGGCTGATTCCACTGGTGTGTGCTGATTGAAGAGCATGGCTTTTTCAAGTGATCTGTCCGTGGTAAAGTATTCACTCCAAAACCTGACCATGAGTGATTTGGTCAGAGTTGGAAATAGTGCGTTATCCCGATAAGATGGTAAATCCATATCCAGAGCCTGCAGGGCCGGATAAATTAAAGACTGGATCTTGAGTTTGATCTTGACATCTGGGTCATCTATGAGCTGAGAAATAATTTAAAATCAGTTGTTGAAATAATTTTCATTGATAGTAAATACTTTCATTTATGAGGCTGATATGAGATAAATTCAAAGTTTCAAAAAGGTAATCAGAAACAATAAAAAATATATCTCAAAGAACTTTCCAATTTTCAACATTATATGTAAGACTCGGTGTATACACTTAAATACTGTAAAGGTAAACAAAATGATTTGCACTACTTTCCTCATGGATATAGAAAACAGACGATGTGATTAAATCTTGACACGTGTAGCTAAACTTTGATTTTTCTCCTTTGTCTTTTTAGAGAATTAAAATTGTATTAGTCCCGTCAAAGAATTAACTTTTTGTTTTTGTTCAAACCTACTCTAAGCTTGTTTTGAATATAAGAATTTCTGTTCTTGTCATTATTATCTTTTCTCTTTTTTATTTTATTTTTTTTATCTTGAGTCAGATGCTTATTTCAGTCTCTCTTCTTATCTCATATGCTTTGGAGAAAATACAATTTCTTTTAAATATACAGAACATATAAAAGATATACATTCTTTTTAAATAGTGACTGATAGGTCCTTAGTGTATTTTTTAAAATGTCCATACAAAGAAAAACATATTATTTGTCTTTTTCTTATTGACTTCCTACATTATTGCATTTAGTAAGAGTCCAAATGCAGTACAATTTAAATTCTAAATTTGTGGCCCACCACTTGGTTGAGTTTTAAAAATGATCATGTGCATTTGCTATATCCTTGTTCCACTGAGTTAAATGTATTGATTGTTATTGCAGTCATCTATCTACTTTTTATTTTTGCCTACTTGTTCTCTTACTTATTAAAAAAAGTATTCTCAAACTTCTTGATATGGACATAAACTTGTGTTTTCTCCTGTAGCTCTGTTAATATTTTCTTCATGTATTAACCCCATGTAATTAAATCCATACAGATTGAGAGTTGTTGTATTTTCTTAGTCATTTAAACCTTTTCTGTAATGATGTGATCTTAATCCATCAATTCTTTCCGATGTTATTACAAGGTATATATATTGTCTATGAATTACTTTCAAATAATCTGCTCATTTATTTTTTCAATCTGACAATCTTGGTCTTATAGCAAGATCATTTAGACCCCAAATATTAAATTAGTAAAATAATTGGTGATCTACTGCCTTATTTTCTCCATCCTCTTTCATTTATTTTTTTCTATTTTTGCCTTCTTTCAAATTGATTAAGCTTTTAATTATTCTATTTTCTGCTTTAGTAGTTTATGTTATGCCTTGTTTATATTCCCTAAGTGATTCCCATAAAATGTGTATTCTTAAGATCTCAAAGACTAATGAACTTACTGAAACATAATTCCAAATCTTTATTTCTTATTAGACAAAAAAAAACCCTCATAAGACTGGAAATTTATCCTCTTCTGTCTCCTTAACTTATAGTTTGACCTTTTTCATATTTTCATTCTATATATCTCATTATTTTAAATTATTCAAGTTTATTAGACTTACCCACATCTTACCACATTCTTGCTATTAGTTTCTTCCTGAAACTTAAACTTTTATTTGCATTTTCATTGCATCTAAAACATTTCACTTAAAGAATCCTTAGTGTGTTCTGTTAATAGCAAGTCCTTTTAGTTTTAACCAAATAAGTCTATTTCTCCTTTATTCTTAAGTAAAAATTTTGTGGAGCACAGAATTAGGTTAAGTCATTTTGTGCTGCACTTTTATGCTATCATCCCACTGACTTCAGATTTACATTTTTGATATTGAGAAGTAAGCTTCCATTATGGCTTGTACTTCTGTGAAGTTACTTTTTTTCTGCTTTACAATTTTTTCTGTTTCTTTTTGTTTCATTTTGTTCTGCCGGCTTCTGCACTTTTCCTTGTGTCTATATGTACATTCCTTTCTAGTTATCGATTTAGTGTTAAGCTTCTCAAAAATGATTCTTAGGGTTCAGGTAGCTTCTTTTATCTGTGGCTTGATATTGTTAATGAGTTTTACAAAATGCTGTACTATTGTGTTTTTAAACATTCTTTTATCTCATTCTCTCTCCTCTACTTCTGGTATGACAACAGGAATTCTGTTGGATTTTCAGACTATGTCTGCTATATTTCTTCTCTTCTCTTTCATATTTGTTAACTTTTTGGCTCCCTATACGTCATTTTGCATAGTTATGTATGAGTTGGATATGACTCATCTTTCAGTTTATAAATTATCTGCAGCTGTGTGAAAGTCAGTAAAGCAATTCATAAAGGTTTTGATATTGATAATTTTATTTTTGAGTTTTAGAACTTTCTTTTTTTTTAAAACTCCACTTTTCTACTGAAATTTGCAATCTCGGTTGTGAATGGATTGAAGAAAGTAGGGTAGTTATTAAATATTCTGTGGCCCGTAACTGTCGCATTTGAATACGGCCAAGTATTCTGCCTGCTGATTCTGCTTGCTTTCCTTCATTGCTGTTTTGTTTACTAGTTTTCCTGGATATGTTTTATTCTGTGCTAGATACTGAATTTCTAAAAACATTTGTAGGAACAATTTAAAGTCTATGATGGTACTGTGTGTCTCCTGGGAGGCTTTTTATATGACTCTGTCAGGCACAACTGAGGATCAGCCACTCACGCCATTCATATTTGAAGTGAAGGCCTGAGATCGCCCCCACCATCCAGGTGGTGTGAAGCAGGACTCTGAATTCACGTGGTTGTGTAACAGTGGGGTGTGTTTTGTATCACTGAACTATACACTTCATTGTCATGACAGAAAATTTTATGTTATGTGTATCTTAGCACAAAATTTTAGAAGTGCAAGAAGAACAACAATAAAACTTTATATGCATTACCTTCCTGTTAAAAAAATGCATGTGAGGTTTGTATTACAGCAGGTTCACCTTGGCCCTGAGAGCATCTCTAGGAAGGGCCTCAGTTAACCTGAAGAGCGGTTCGGGGGTGTCCTCACATTTGACTTCCACTCTAGCCCTGAAAGACTTCCAAAAGGTATCTTATAAAATTTTTCTTTCCTTCCTTCCTTCCCTCCTCCCTTCCTTCCTTCCTTCCTTCCTTCTTCTCTCTCTCTCTTTCTTTCTTTTTGAGTGCCATAATCCTTTAGGGTAAAGAGGACATTGAGTACTGGGTTTCTTTTGTAGGTTTTTTTCTTCATCTTTTAAAAAAACTTTTGGCCTAGAAATTTCTCATATCTTAGGAACTTTTTGATATATTTCAGATTATTATATCTTATCCCAATTTTTAATAATTATGGGTCAGAATTAATTTGTGCACCATGGCAGAAACCAGAACTGCATACAACAAAGGGCCAATTATGCAACACAGTGAAAAGGAATTGATGCTTGAAGTGGCTTGTCCAAGGTCACAGCTGGACCTTACTTTAGCTTCAAAAATCCATGGCTCCTGATTGTTCTTTGCAGTACATCGAGGTACCTCTCAGAGAGACAATGGGTAGCGATATAGAACTCAACTTCTGCAAATAACAAATATATGTTCTATAGTACACTAAGAAAAACCACAGGATTTTTATCTTCCCTTTACCTGGAAATAATGAGAAGGTTATCCTAAAAATACCAATCGCCAAACTTTATATACTTTAAAGTGTGTATGGAAACAAATAATAAAAACAAATGGCCTGTTTTATTACACAATAAATTTATGTGCAATATTTATGATAATATCTGCTATTAAATTATTATTTATTTGCAAATACACTATAATTTTTTTCATATAGGAATATTGTTTCTAAGCCCTCAGTGCCAAGTTTATTTCTTAGGTTAGATAAACCAGTATCAAAAATAATATTATTCATAATCTATGGACTAATTACCAATGAAAATCAATACTTCATAGGTGTCCAGTTTTAGCAAAATGTCATAGAAATAGTGTAATAATTGATATTTGAAAATAATAGTTCCTTTTTAAGTAAATAATATTTATGAACCCGCTAACAATTTTGTCAATAGGTAATTTTATTATTCCGATAACAAGTTTTAATGCATGTTTTAGCATGCTCCATTGAAGACAACTGAAATTATTTCATTCTTTAGTGATGGTGGTTGGTACCATTGCTTACACAAATTGCTTACACAAATATATCCCCTAGTATAACAAAACACTATGTTACTTACCTGACCATATCCTTTATGTTTAAACCAATGATATATACAGAGGATTTAATTATTTCTTTCTTTTAAACATCCAGCAGGAGATAGAAGTAGAAGCAGTAGGTATATTAATTTTCTCTAATATGATCTCTATGTAACTCTAATATAGTAATATATTTACACTGATATTTTAGTATTTTAAATAAATACATTTATGTGTAGAACATTTTATATAATGAGACAAATTTGAGCAACATACCTTTTGAGTGACTGCTGCAGCCAAATTCCCTCCAGCACTGTCTCCAGAAATTCCAATTCTTTTAGGATCTACACCATATTTTTCAAGAACATCCTGGCGTAAGAACCACTTTAATGAATTATATACATCTTCAAATTGAGTGGGAAAATGATATTTAGGTGCTAATCTATAACTGTGGGTGGGAAAACATGTTCTTTCAGTCAACACTTTTAATAAAAATGTGCATGCATGCTGTAACACTAAAATCAAAAGTAAATATTTTAAACAAACATTGTTTGAATCCTAGCGAATAACAACACAGACTTATTTTTAAAGACAGTGCTTGGTATAAAAACTTTCACGAATATTATTTTCATACTAGTAAAGGCTTAAATGGGAAACTTGGAGTAGACTTTAGAAAAAAAAAGCACAAGTGATAATTAAGTAAACTTCTCCAAGAATGTTATCCTTTGTAATCGTTACTCTTTCTTTATATTTATTTTATTTATCTACAATCAATAAATTTCAAATAAATCTTAAGAATTATTGTATTCCAACATAATTTATTGATCAAGTTAAATGATTTTTAGAATTGATTTTGCCTATATTTCCATGTTATTTAGTGACTAATTGCTTTTAAAGAAGGATCATACCATGAAATATGCCACACTAATTGCTTTAAATGTATTTTACCACTTAATTCTCGAAACAACTCTGTGATATGGAAGATATTATATGACTCACAGTTGACATATGAGAACATGGAGCTACAAAGAGATTTAACTGGCACACAGTCACTCAGTTAATTCAAAAACCAAACTTTGGGCCAGATTCTCTGACTTGGAAGCCCTCCTTATTCACTCTGTTCATTAACAATAGGCTAGAAATCCAGCAAAGACCCTTTGCCCATGAAATTCAATAGTTTACTTTCACTGTAACAACTTCCCACTTGACCCAACTATACAACTCTTTTCTCTCTGTCTTTTTACTGGCCATGGCCAAGCTCACGTTCTCAATTCTCACCACCTCACTTTCATTTGAAACACACCTGGCATAACCCAGAAATGACCAGGACAGCTCACTACATGAAGGGCCTGGCCAAACCAAACAAACCAACAGTGCACTTACTCGGTGGAAACGACAACAGCATCAAGGCTATTAACTGTTTGTCTTGAGAGCACGTCATAACCAACCAAAGCTGAAATAAAGAAAATAAAATCAGAGACTGACAAGTAAACTGATGGATATTTCTTTCCACAAATGGCCTACTGCTGCACCTTTTTCCTCATTAAAATGTACTGGGAATGCCCTGACCAGTGTGGCTCAGTTGTTTGGGAGTCATCATGCAAAAGGAAAGGTGGCCAGCTCAGTTCCTGGTCAGGCCACAGTGCTGCAGTGCAGGCCAGCTCCCCAGTCGGGGAGCTGCGACAGGGAACGGACTGGTGATTCTCTCTCCCTTCTCTTTCTCCCTCCCTCACTCCTTTTTAAATATAAATAAATAAAATCTTTAAAATTGTTCTGGGAAAATATTTCTAATATCTCATCATAGCTATAGAAAATGAAGTCTTTTGCTCAGCAATTCTTTTACATGGATATGGTCAACTTTCTTGTCCTTCCCATATTTCACACTGTGTAACTTAAGCCAATGTCTCTCTTCAAGATTAGTCGGTGCTCCCTCTAATGAGCAGATGTCAGGCATTGAAAGAAAAAACATAAATATACCTCCCTGACTTTGAGGGGGTCACAGTGTACTGGGGACAGGAGCAGGGAGGGGCAGGCATAGAAATGAAAAGCAATAGTGCAATACAGTAGCTGCTTTCATGCTTTAATGGAGAGGCAGAGAAAGTACTCTAGGAAATAGTATTAGACTTTACAAAGACTGCCACAGGAAGTTAAAGAAGAGTAAAAAGGAAATAGGGAGAGTTGACACCTGATTTATATATTCATATTTTCTAGGCAGACAAGAAGCTCTGTGTTTTCTGGGGTGTTTTTGGCCATGTGTGTGGGGTGGGGATAGGTCACACATGTTTGCTATTGTGCTTGGAAAAAGACTCTTCTGCACATACAAACATTTTAAGAAAATAAAATAGAATTTGCCAGTAACAAGAGCAGGGAGAGATCATAAAATACTACCAGTGGACTACCAGGATGAGAAGTTGTCACAGAGGTCACATCCTGTGGGCCGTGGAAAGAGGAGTAGATATTTTGTTGTGATGTTCCCAAAGTTGGGTGCTGAATATTCTTAAAATGTACATACACACTAGTTTTCAACTTTTATTTAACATTTACCATATGAAATCATGCTTACATTTTAAATTAATCACATATTTTTATGTTTTTATTTAATGTTGAAAGAGAAAACATCAGGTAAATACTATTTTGTTTCAGAGTTTATTCTTGTTTAGTTCCTTTTCCTTGGGGAACGTACTCCATCTCTTCAGGTATACCTTGATGGAAAGATTTTTTAAGTGAACTGCTTTGGGAAGTAGGAATGCATGGAAAATAATTGAAACATGGCATAGTCCGATTTTGTCTTAAAATATCGCTTCATTGCCAGCTGATGACTTTACTACCTGAATTTATAGAAAATGTTTGGATTATACACTTCACTGTTGCAATTCATGTTTCCAATCTACATCAATACTCATTAACACCCCTTTCTCCTGAAAACATGGAAAGAAAACAACAAGAAAGTTAAGTTCCTACTGCTGTGAGCTGTTAATACTTCACCATTGTACAAAGTCCAATTTCCTCCCACAGTCTGTAGGTCAGGCAAACTTCTTCCCATTCTCCAGCTCCCCCTCCCCAAATTTCTTCAACATACTTCTGTTAACTGCCTTACCTTCGGCTTATAAACATGTTCACAGCCCTTCCATATATAAACAGAAAATATGTATTTATACATAAATATAATATGCATTTTATATGTGATAAAATGGTATATATTAGATACATTTATGGAAATACAGAAAATAAATTGAAATGTACATACATTTTATTTAAAAAAATACCATGTACTTAATCCACTCTGTGCTTCTTTTCAAACCCAAACCGTGTCTTTCCTTTCTACCTAAGTATATTGAGAGACTGGAGTCGCCATCACCACTACCTCATTTTTCACCCATTATTCAACTCACTTCATCTTGGCCTTCATTACAGCATTCCATCACTCTGGCAATTCACAATTTTAATCATAAATTTCTGCATTCATGAAACAGTTTTTCCTCTTACCTGAGATTTGCTACAGCTGTCAGTATTACTTCTTCTCAGAAAGAAATTTAAAACAATTTTTTAAACTAACATAGCTCCAAAGAAATAAAGTTCAGTTGGCTGACGTGTTCCATTATCTGTGATAATGTTTACCAGATACATCACAGTAACTATCTTAATAAAATGTATGCCTCATGATAAGCCAAATTCTGTAACCAGAGCCACATACCAGCACTCCCTAAACACCAGCCGCCACCGTGAATGTAAAACAAGCCCCTCCTCAGTGCCTGCGACTTTCGGTTTGGAATGTAGACACGGACAGGAACATTGTTGAAAGTGGTCTCCATCACAGTGACATTTTCGTCAGATGTGGGTGGGACTTCTTGAAAACTCATACAGAACATTAAAGTGTCCATGAAATGGTTGATTCCCAATAGTTCGGCAAACACAGCCTAAAAGTAGAGAGAAAAACAAATACCAGGTTTCAAACAGCAAATGCCAATGTTGTTTATAGCATAGAAGTATGAGTGTATGCTCCCCACAGCCCTGTGTCATTTATCACAGGTAAATCTGAATGACACAGCAATATCAAGATTCAGAATCTTTACCATAATAATTGGCTCAGTCTAAAAAAGGATACATGAAGAATTCTTAAGGTATTGCAACTTGTCAGAATCTATGCCTCGGGCCTTGAGACACGGATAAACAATGTACTGTTTGTATTCTTTTTTTATTTTATTTTAATTGTTGTTGAAGTTCAATTTTCTATCTTTTACTCCCATCCCAGCCCACCCACCCAGCCCTCCCCTCCTCCCTGCCATTTCCACCTGCCCCTAGTTTTTTATCCATGTGTCCTTTATACTTGTTCCTGTAAACCTTTCCCCTTTAACCAGAAATTCCCCTGAAATTTCCTCCCCTCTCCTCTCTGAACACTGTCAGCTTATTCTCTAAACAAAGAAACAAGCAAAATATAACCAAAGACACTGAAGTAGAGTACTCTTTGTATTCTAAATAAGCTCAGCGTCAAGTGGGAGAAATGGATATGTAAGCAATTATGAAACAACGTAACTGCCTGTCTCATAAACATGGACAAAGAACTTTGGTGAATGTCATTAGGGAGGTAAACTATTGTCCTGGACAGGACACCTAGAGGAAGAGGTTGCAAGTATGTGAACTTTGTTATGAATACAGAGAGGGAAGTTCTCAGAGAAAGGCAGGTAGTGCAGCAAAGCTATAAAGTCAGGTCTACAGAGGGATGCACCAAATAAAAAGAACCTTGAAGTGAGTGTCAAGCAATCATGAAGAACTTTATAATGTTGGGATTCCAAAAAGTAAAAAGAATTGTTTTCCAATTTTAATTTCAGAATATGTGGGCTACGGTCCTGGTCCCAGTGGAATGGTATTGTTCCCCCAGGTTAGCTGTGCTTCCCAACCCAGTCATGCTACAGCTGGAGAAGTGTTCAGTTAGCAAACAAATACCTCTCCTTCTGTTGCCTGGCAGCTATCCCAAAGGGACTTCAGAAGTTAGATGCACAGCAAGCACACACCACAAAGAAACGACTGCCCTCACATTGCAATTGCCAGCAGAAGGGTGGAACTCATGCAAATGAGAGCATGACAATGCTAGTCTATCTGACAGGCTTTGGGAAACAGGCTATTCCAGCTATAAAGATGTTCATGGATCTTCTCAACCTGTGGACATCCACTTCCTTGAACACATGTGGCCTGTTTCACATGCTGGTCATGCCTCAGCACAGTGGGTGTCCCCTACCTGCTCCTCTGCAGTTACAAAAGGCTGGAGACTGCTACCCACAGTAGACCATCTTCTGTCCTCTTTATTCCTACAGTGTCTGCTTATGTTTCCCCGTGGTTCTGCTGCATGTGATTTTTGTATGAGCACTCCCACCAATTAACAATGTGACTTGAAAGAAATCACATCAATATCAATCCTGCTGCTTTTAAATGTTAACATAGAAAAGTGGTATTAAGGTCAGAACGTTTACTTACTTAATTTTAACAAATACATTTAAAATTTGTACAACCTTTGACATACACTAGCTGTCAAAACTTTTCCCACAAAAGTAATTTATACCAATTTAGTTGGCCTTCTGGTTTTAAATTAAAGTTAAGAACAAGTACAAGTCCTTTCTTCAAAATGCAAATCACTGGACTCTAGCATTTTATTTCCAAAGAATTAAAGAATGCTTAGGTTCAAATATTTTTTAAATGTTAGAGAATGGTACTATGTTATAAAAATTAGAGAGACGGATTTAGTCAAGAAAACAGAAATTGTAATATGTAAGATACTAAGTATGAATTTTTAACATGAGTTTATAATTTCATAAGTCTTTAAATTCTATGAGGAAGTGTAGTAAACTTAAAACAAAAGACTAAAAATCAGCAGTGAGCTAAAACCATTGCCTAGCGTCCCTGCATTCTGATTTGAATTATCACAATTTTAAAATGTCTTTGACCATGTTCCCTTTGGTAAAGTGTGGTGGGGTAGACCAGTAGGATAATGGACATATCATCTCAGATCAGCTTACTCTCTTTATACTGACTTTAAAGCCTAAATGCAATTTTTGATGTAAATTTGAAGGATCCAATGATAAAGAAGGAAAATTTGACTGACTCTGAAATTTATATCCTTTGGTGTGTGGACAAAATTGTTTCTTGTATCTTAGTCCTACAAAGATTTATCAGTTAAGGAAAAAAGTAGTTGAATTTCTGTTCATTCAAAGGTGAGAAACAGTGCCACTGACTGCACCCAAGTTAGAGTTCTGCATATAGAGTGTGGTTATTTGGCAATTTGGAGACTTGAGTAATCATTGGACTTCAAAATATTCATCTTTTGGAGACAGACCAGTGTACCACTGAGAAAGCCATAGCAGCAAAAAGAACTAAGCAGGGCTGGGAGACTCAATGGCAAAAATGCAGAAAAAGGAGAAGAGAAGATGATAAAAGTGTTACAGAACACAAGGGGGGGGGTCAAAGGCAACATAGCATTACTGAAAAGAACCCCCAGGTTTCTTATGTCCGCCGCCTTATAGGAAAGACATCTCTCAATGCCAGAGATTTGTGAAAAGGAAAGGAAGTGTTTATGTAATGCTATAGATACTTGAAGTAGTGACCTAATGTCTTCATCAAAATCCCAAAGTCCCTGAAAACACCCACAAACACACACAGTCATTCCTTCCCCCTTTTGCTAGTCTGGGGTACCATATCTCAGGAAAAGAAATAGAAGTCCGATGCTCAGGCAGCCTCCACTTCTTCCTAGTAATCCATGCTTAACTGATAGGCCTTCCATGGTTCCCAGAACCATTAGCTGTGTCACCAGGATCTCTGCTAAAGCCAGGTGGTGGTTCCCCTTCTAAAGCTGCAGGGTCCCCCCTCTAGCAAAGCCACGTGGGTCTCTTACATGTCCACAGACACATGGCTCCCCTTTCTATTGCCACAGCTGAGTGGTCCTCTCTACACAATGGCCGTGGGAGTCCCCACTCTGGCAAAGCCATGTGGTTCTCCATCCACAATGGCTGCAAGGAGTGGGGGTCGCCACTCTGCCAAAGCCCAGTGGTGATTCTTTGCTAAAGCCGCATGGTGATTCTCTCTCACAGGGCCACCAGAGTCTCCACTCTACTAAAGACTGAGTGGTTCTCTCCCTGCACTATGGCTGAGGGAGTCTGCATTCTGCCAAAACTGTGTGGCTCTCCTTCCAAGGGCTGCCACATCTTGGTTTAAATCCCCATGCCAATCTTCCTCTGCAGTCCCATTTCTGACTCCTCTCACAATTGGCTACACTTGCCAGCATTCTCATATCCTTCCAGCTTTACTGGGCTGCCATATGAGTCTGGGCAGGTGTGGCCCCATGTCACGCAGCCAGCCAATCTTCTCCAAGCTCTCATGCAGGCTCTATAACTCAGGAGAGTTACCTCCCCGGGTAAGTCTTAGGGGGAAGTTACTTCCATCCCCCTGGCTCAGAGCTTGGCCACAGCTATTTAACATATCTATGCAACCACTTAAAAGTTACAGATATGTTCAATGACCACACCAGAGGTTAGCTGCAAAGCTGTTGCTATGCAAAACAGCTCTCAATGGCCCTGCTCCATTTGTCCCTTCCCCCCACAACTGAAGGGGGAAGGGGTGAGGGCATCTTATGTGTCTTTTTAATATTTCCTGGACACCCCGCGTTCTGGGCCCCATTCTAAAGCCCTATCTGGGCCCTCCTCTTGGCTGCAACTTATTACAAAAGTAATATTTTAAAAAATCATGTCAAGTTTGGAAGCTTTAAACTGTCTCAATGCGACTCAGGAAAACCTTACAATCTTGTTTAAGAGTAAAAAACACTTTTCACAAGTGCATATAATCCTGAACACAGGTAAGTCTGATAGTGTTATTTGACTGTGGTGTTATTTCTTCCCAAGCCTATATGCAGCCTCAGAGTCCTTTTAGGATACTGCTGAGCAATGTAACCCTCAGAGTGGGCACCTGCGTTTGATAGTCCTGTTTTCAGAGATAGTCTGCATTGCAGACCAGCTGACAATTAATTCCATTCAATGCCTTCCATTTATCATCATCACTCAATTATTAAAAGTTTGAATTACCATTTTTTGTTTTTATGCTCAAATCAATTGATAAAGCACAAAATAGTACCAGATGGCATTAAATTCAAGCAAAAAAGTGTTAAGGTTTTTTTCTTTGGCAGGCAAGAAGAATTAGTAGAGATTCAGCTGCTTAATGGATAATACATTTTATAGAGGTTTGGGAAAGATACCATTATATGGTAGTCTGGTGTACTTAGCAAATAAGTTGTTATTTTTTTAAATGGGATTGAAGGTTTTAGGATAAATCTATGTGTTTTTTTTATCTGTAGGAGAGCACACAGAGAAAGAAAAAAACAAATCAATAATGAAACAGATAAATTAGTTCTTCCAAGAACTAAGAGTCATAGGAAACCCATGAACTACAAATTATGTGCAGTGTCAGATTAAGGCAAGTGCAACCTGCAGAATTGCACAGAAAACCATGGTGCTGGGCAAGAGAAAAGGCAAGAAAGGAAACGATCACAAACATTCATTCCAAGAATGAAAGGGCCTCTGCATGATCAAAGGCTCCAGGAGCAGGAAACATGAGAAAACCTGATTCTAGAGAGAGGTTGCTAAAGAAACTCACAAATCACTCAGGAAGGTCCAGAGGTTAGTGCGTTCAGAACTTCTAGGGTGGAGTCCAGCACTGGCAGAGCATGGCTGTGCCCTGTGCTTACAACAGTCAGGGATGAACCAGCGAACTCAGCATTCAGGAGGGCTGGAGAGAATTTAGCGGGTTCACATTTACAAAGATGTGTGTGTGTATGTGCATTAGTGATAGGAGTCCTTTAGCACAAGAACTGAATGACAAAAAAGTCTTTACCCTACCTCTGTTGCCCAGGACATTCTTAAAATAGTTTGTCCAAGAAAATTTATCTAATTCAAATGGAAATAATACAATAGTTGTCTATTTAATATTCGTGCAAGGTAGTGGTACCTTGCAAAACTGCAGGGTACTACTGCAGTATACTGAGTGCCATACTTGGATATTGCAAGTATATCCAATACTTGGTATTGCAGTATATACTGGGTACAATAAGAAAAATAGTAAGTCTCCACCAGATGAAGAAAACAAACTGGAAAAAAGTCTCTGCAAAGCGAACAAAATACATTACACAATATTGTAAGATAAATTTTAAAATAACATAAGAAGCAATATCACAAAGCAAAACCCCACATATTCAAGGAAGATATAGGGAGATTATTGGAGGTCATTGCTAGTCAAAAGATGCGAGAATTAAAAACGGATGTTGATAGAACTCAGAAAAAAAGACAAAGCAATTTCAGAAATAAATACCAAATTAAAGAAACTCAAAGCATTATATTTAATAGAAATTACAGAAACAAATGGAAGAAAAATGTAGAGAAAGATTAAAAAGTACGGAGAGAAAATGATGCAAAGAAGTCTGTGTGTGTATAAATGTGTGTATGTAGGTATACATGCATAACTAATCAAAATAATAACAGAAATCAAAACAGTAAAACAAAATGAACATTTTAGACAAAATTCAATAACAACCTAAATAAATAAAACTTGAAACTACATTCTAGTAAAATGGACCCAAATCCAACAAAATATGTGCTAATGAAGTTACTAAAAATGATCAAATGTAAGGCATGCAGGGTCCGGCAGAAGCAACACCTGCCTGAGTGTGGTTGGTAGGGTAATAATATGAGTGCAATAATTTGTAGCTTTAATTTGAACATTTCACCTAAAATGTCATCTAGGGTGCTTAAGTGTGATATTATTATGTTACAGAATTACATGCTTATGATTTTGTATTAAAGATTGGCATTATTTGGCCCTGGATGGTGTAATTGAGTGGATTGAGCATGGGCTGAGAACCAAGGGGTCGCCAGTTTGATTCCCAATCAGGGCACATGCCTGGGTTGAGGACCAGGTCCCTCCCTGGTAAAGATCCCTGGCACAGGTCCCTGGTACAAGGGACGAGACAGGCAACCACACATTGATAATCCTCTCCCTCTCATTCTCCTTCTCCTCATGTCTCTCTAAAAATGAATAAATAAAATCTTTAAAAAAACTGGCATTATTTGAGCCAGACCCTGTATATTGTACTTGTTCAGAACCACTTTAAATGACAAAAGAGAGTTACAACACCTTTAAAAAAAAGACCAGGAAGGAGGCAAAAAGCCAAGTGTTTTATTACTCAGGCTAATGGACCTTGAATTAATTTTCTTTGATTTTAGAGGCAATTTGCTACTGAGGAGGTTAAAGAAGATAACCAATAGTTTGATTTCTAAGCAATTAACATCACTAGGAAAGAACCACAGGTCTTTGCAGGCCAGCCATGGTCACCATGTGGGCAGTGGCCAGGCTACCCCAGCAGTTCATCTGTCCACTGGACACCATACATGTCCCACTTCCATGACCTTTACCAGTGACCTGTTTCCAAATATCTCAGTAAAAATTCATTTTCATGTCTGAATACAAGATTATTGCATAGAATTTTGTAATGAATCACAACATGGTTCAGTCCTGCCATTTCTGGTGTTCATACTTTAACACACTTTATTCTTGCAGTGTTCATGCAATGAAACTCACAATAAGACTGTTTTTCTCAGCCAGCACATTTTGTCCTTTACGATTTAAAATCAAAACTCCTTGACTACTCCCTCCATATTCATTCTGTTAGTGGTCTGCATTAAGCAATATTTAAAACATGAAAAAAGCTTTAAAATGAGCAAGTTAAAGAGCATAACTACCAAGAGGGTGGAGAATGTGAAAAATATAAAATAGGTATTCTCTCCTGATTAAACTGTTAAATATTGAGTCAATAAGATTCTATACTTACCAAACGTTGTAGAGTTTTAAACTGTGCATTCACCAAGACCAGTCTCCATGGCTCCTCAATATTGTCTGGGAGAGGTGTATAAACATAATACGCTCCGAGGACACCCAGCAGCAGCAGCAGAACACTCTTTTTTCCCATGATGTTTCTCTTCTGCTCCAGCTGCTTAACAGCACAGCAAACACATTGACATTTTCAGAGACTGAAATTTTGCATGCAGTTTTTGACTCTATCCCCAAGTTTTATCTAACTTCCTGGAAACAAATTCCCCTGTTCAGTGTGTGATTTCATTGGCTGTTCAGAAATAAACAGCACGAGTGCAAAGATCTCTGTGAACATAGGGCACTTACTGATGGCAGGTTTTGTCACGTCCAGTTTCCTTATGATTGCTTGGCAGTCAGTTCATTGTATAATTACTAGGTGCAGAATACTTTATTTAAAACAAACAGTTTCCAAAATAAAAAACAAGAAACCTTGTATGTGCTTCAACTAACAGATGTCAGAAAGGAAGAAAATGAGTATTTTTAAAGTATTGAGAACATTTACAAAGTAAAAATGAATATGCTCACATGCATTTTATGACATTTTATTGCCTCTCTATAATTATCCCAATAAGTAATGCTAATTATGTTAGAATTATACAATAATCATACAGATAACTAACAGTTTTTGAGCACTTACCCTGTACCCCAGGTGGTGTACTCAAACAATTAAATCTCATTTAATCCTCAATAGTATTATTGTCATGTGAGAGAGAAATAAACAGACTGAGGAAAGTTTATAAAGTTGTACAAGTTCATTCAGTAGTGGGGAGTGAGGCCAGTACTGTCCTCCATGAGTGCACACTGAGACCTCACTTGTCCCAGTTCTTTGATTAGTCTCAGATTATAGATAAGCAACTGAGATTAAGATTCAGTGTAACTAGCCAACATCATACAAAACCAAGTAACTGTGCTGGAGATATTATGGTCCACTGAATATACATGTGCCCCTATGATTTTTAGATAGCTTCTCTAGCACTTAAGTAAACTTCTAAGACTAGTATTAGCCAAACGCACCTGATAGAAATTAACATGCCATTTCCAGACAGAAGTACTTAAAATCCAGAAGACCTGCACACTATCTTTTGCAATGGTAGAATCACAAAATATATGTAACTTGAATGAAGGGGCCCAAGGGTTCAGTTGTTCAAACTCCATAGAATTTTCTTGAGCAATAAGTAAATATTATGCCAAATGTGAAGTGTTGTGTGATTTAATCTTTATATCACTTTAAGTATATTGTATCACTTAGCCCTCATATCAACAGTGAAATGTAAGAGTTAATATTATGAGAGGCTGTCTTATTCCAAAGTCATATGATCACATTTCTATAGTTTTCATTTAGAATCCTGTGCCTCTGAGGAAAAGTTAAGTTTCTTCCCATTAATGCTAGAAGTGACACTCAAATTACTTTATTTTTTAAATGAGCATGCATTAAAGTTGACTTTTTGTTGAATAGTCTTATGGAGGTGAACAAATTGGTACATTTGTTAAACTATACTATGCAGTTCGAACACAGAACACAACCACTAGCTCCAAACCCCCTATTTTCTATACCTTTGTGGTCTCATCTTTTCTCCATCCTTAAACCCTGGCAACCAGTGATCTACTCTCCATCATGATTGTTTTCGCATGGAACATAAATGAAATCATGCAGTATATAATATTTTGAGACTGGCTTATTATACTAAGCATACCCTCTTTGAGATTTGTCCAAGTGTTGGGTATATTTAAGTGGCTTTTTTAGAAAAAAAAATCTAAACAAAGTAAAATCCAGATTTGTATTAACATCAGTTTAATGTCTTCCTCAAAGTAAATGACAAAGTTGTTTTTATAGTAAATACTATGTACACATGTTTAAACAGTAAAGGCATATGAGACTTCTTATTTGCTCAGCAAGTCCTAGCAAACAAGTTATTTTGACTTTACATAACTATTGGTTGGTAGTATGAACACAATATGATATTTTTATGTGTGAAATATAACACAAAGGATATCTTTTGTCAAAGTGCTGATTAAACATGCAGTTTCATCATTCTGTCTCAATTGAATTACCGTGTAAGTTCTTGTTAAGGCCATTTCCCTTAGTTGTACATAAGGTGGTTTGTTCTTTTTTTTTTTAAGATTTATTTATTTATTTATTTTTAGAGAGGGAAGGGAGGGAGAAAGAGAGAGAGAATCATCAATATGCGGTTGCAGGGGCCTGTGGCCTGCAACCCAGGCATGTGCCCTGGCTGGGAATCGAACCTGTACGCTTTGGTTTGCAGCCCGAGCTCAATCCACTGAGCTATGCCAGCCAGGGCTTTGGTTTGTTCTTGACTCAAGACTGATAATCCTCCTTTCTTTCTGATGAAAGTCAGTAGAATTGCTAATTTTCAGGAGGCTAAATTATTTTTTTGTACACAAAATGAAAGATGTAGCAACATTATGTTCTTCTAATTATTAAGTCACTCATTTACTCATCATAAGACCTGAAAACCACTTGACAAGGAAATAAGTATAATATCATGAAAGCATTCCTCATTAATCCACATTGCTGCCAAACTTTAAAATGTTGGAAAGGTGTTCAGTTACCTGTATCTCTAAATGAATGATACATGTTCTGGAGAGCTTGTTTGGATGTTCCAGCAGTGGAGCACAGCTCCTGGTATACACCCTTGACCAAAGACCCATCCTCTCCTCCAGTTGGGGAGGCCGTCCTCTTCAACCAAATGCGCAGCTCTGGGAAGGACACACTGGGATTGGCGAGGGAGGAAGGGACACCGGCCTAGCCAGGGGGATCAGCCGAGTCAGCCCTGGTGACCGCTGGGGTGACAGATGTTGCAGCCACATCACCCTCACATCCATATGAGACATGTTTTTAAAGTGTGCATTTGATATTACTCCTCAAGATGAAAATCAATAATCCGATCATCCACCTCAATAAGTTGCAAGTGGTAAATAAAGCTTAAAAGTCTGTAGAAGGAAATAAAAAATACAATCATTAATTAATGAAATAAAAATAAACATGAGATAAAGAGGATCCACTAAAAACCCTAACACCTTTAAAAAGCTCAGTCCATTGATAAATCCTTAAGTGACTCATCAAGAAAAAAATAACAGAAATAAGCAATAAGACATCACTACAGATTCGAATGTCAGTTTTAAAAATAAAATATTATACACAACATTATGTCAATAAATTTAAAATCTTGGACAAAATGGATAAATCTCTTAAAAACTGTAAAGTCATCTAAGAACAAGTTTTAAACAAACTGGTTGCTAATAAAACTATTAAAGAGATTTCATCTGCAATTTGAAAAAACTTCCTACAATAAAAAGCACTGGTAAGATGTTCGCTGTTGAATTCTTCAAAATTTTGAAAGAAGAAAATACCAGTTTTATACACACTTTCCAGAGAAGGAAAAAATATTGATGGAATTCTTCACAAATCATTTTATGATACCAGCAGACTTGAACCCAAATTTTGACAAGTCCAGAAAAATAACAAGCCAGTTACAGATGAAAATCTCTCACAAAAGTGAACACTTATTCTAAACACTTGCAGACTAGGGACCACTAGTAGGTGCCCTGACCAGGAACCAAACCCACAATCTGTGCATGTGTTCCAACTGGGAATTGAACCTGCGACCTTTCAGTTTACAGGATGATGCTCCAACAAAGTGAGCTACACTGAGCAGGGCAAGATAAATAACTCTTTAAAGCAAAAATATTTTAAATACTATGTTGGGTTCATCACACTTATAAAATAGAAATATATGGCAATAATAATCTAATAGAAGACATGGAAGAAATGGCACTATACTGTTGGAAATTTCTTACTGCTGACATGCCATAACATTTGAAGCCATAACATGAAGATGAGTACTGTAAATTTTTTTTCAAATTTTATTTTAATCATTGTTCAAATACAGTTTTCTCCCTTTTACTCCCATTCCAGCCCACCCACCCAACCCTCCCCAATTCCCTCCCATTACTACCCTCCCTCTGGCTTTTGTCCATGTGTCCTTTAAATTTGTTCTTGTAAACCATTCTCATTCTCCCCTGAAATTCCCTCTTCTCTCCCCTCTGGTCACTGTGAGTCTGTCCCCTATTTCAGTGTCATTGGTTATATTTTGCTTGTTTCTTTGTTTTGTTGTTTAGGTTCCTGTTAAAGGTGAGATCATATGGTTTTTGTCTTTCACTACCTGGCTTATCGCTTAGCATAATGCTTTCCAGCTCCATCCACGCTGTTGCAAAGGGTAGGAGCTCCTTCTTTCTTTCTGCTGCATAGAATTCCATTGTGTAAATGTACCATCGTTTTTTGATCCATTCATTTACTGATGGCCATCTAGGTTGCTTCCAGCACCTAGCTATTGTAAACTGTTCTGCTATGAACATCGGGGTGCAAAGGTTCTTTTGTATTGGTGTTTTAGTGTTCTTAGGATAGAGTCCCAGCAGTGGAATTGCTGGGTCAAAAGGCAGATCCATTTTTAGTTTTCGGAGGAAGTTCCGTACTGCTTTCCATAGTGGTTGTACCAGTCTGCAGGCCCACCAACAGTGCACTAGGGTCCCCTTTTCTCCACAACCTCTCCAACATTTGTTGTTTGTTGCTTTGTTTATGATGGCCATTCTGACTGGTGTGAAGTGGTATCTCATTGTGGTTTTAATTTGCATCTCTGTGATAGCTAGCGATATTGAACATTGTTTCATGTGCCTTTGGATCTTCTGTATGTCCTCCTTGGAGAAGTGTCTGTTCAAGTCCTTTGCCCACTTTTTAATTGGTTTACTTGTCTTCTTAGAGTGGAGTCGTGTAAGTTCTTTATATATTTTGGAGATTAAACCCTTGTCTGAGGTATCATTGGCAAATATGTTTTCCCATACAGTTGGTTCTCCTTTTATTTTGATACTTTTTTTCTTTAGCTGTGCAACAGCTTTTTATTTTGATGAGGTTCCATTTGTTTATTCTTTCCTTTATGTCCCTTGCTCTAGGAGACATGTCAGTAAAAAAGTTTCTGCGTGAAATATCTGAGATTTTCCTACCTACGTTCTCTTCTAGGACTTTAATGATGTCACAGTTTATATTTAAGTCTTTTATCCACCTTGAATTAATTTTTGGATAAGGTGTAAGTTGGTGCTTGAGTTTCATTTTTTTGCACGTAGTCGTCCAGTTCTCCCAACACCATTTGTTGAAGAGGCTATTTTTATTCCATTTTATGTTGCTGCTTCCTTTGTCAAATATT